CTTGCAAGCTGTGCGCAGTAACTGTTCAACCACTTGATTGAGTCGCTCTGTCTGTCCGTCAGTCTGGGGGTGGTATGCTGAAGACATTGCAAGCTTTGTCCCCAACATTCCCATGAGCTCCTTCCAGAACTTACTGGTGAATTTTGGGTCTCTGTCTGAGATGAGTGTAGCGGGGATGCCGTGGATGGTGATGACGCGGTCAAAGAAGAGGCGAGCAGTTGCTTCAACTGTAGCTGTGGCGTTGGTCGGTATGAAGTGACCCATTTTGGAGAACTTATCGATGACTACGAGGATGGAATCGTGCCCCCGTGAGGTCGAAGGAAGTCGTGTGATAAAGTCGAGGCTAACGACCTGCCATGGCTGCTCCGGTACAGGTAGAGGCTGAAGTAACGCTGCTATTTTCTGCTTGCTGCTCTTCATCCGCTGGCACGTGTCGCATGAGGTGACGAACTGCTGCACGTCTGCTGCCATCCCGGGCCAGTAGTAATACTTCGCTATCCCTGCTAACGTCTTGTTGCTCCCGAAACGTCTCGCGTAAGGTACGTCGTGAAACTCCTCCAATAGGATCTGCCGTAGCGGGGCGTAATTCGGTACCCAAATCTTTCCTGAACCCTTCCTTACAGCTAAGTCTTTCTCCCACTGTAACAGCTTCTTGGTCTGTGCTGTAGCAATCTCTGCGTCCACGGAGTACCCATGTTGGAATAGACCCTTGAGCAGAGGGTTCATCCCGTCGAGCTGGATGCCTGCTACATGTCCGGGGCGGCTCAACGCGTCTGCCTTGTTGTGTAGCCCGGGCTTGTAGACGATGTCGTAGTGGAAGTGAGTTTCCAGGAAGTCCACCCACCGCACCTGTCGTCGTGAGAGCGTCGGCTGCGACTTCAGGTATTTGAGACTGCAGTGGTCAGTATAGACTGGAGTCTTGGCTCCCTCTAGGTAACACCTCCACGCCTTGAAGGCTATGACGATCGCTAAGGCTTCCTTGTCACGGATGGGGTAGTTCATTTCTGCTCCGTGTAGCTTCTTACTGAGGTAGGCGATGGGCTGCAAACCGCGTCCGTGATCCTGCATTAGTACTGCTCCGACTGCTTGGTCACTAGCGTCTGCTTCCACCACGTAGTCCTTGTCTAGATCTGGTAGGATGAGTACTGGCGCTGTAGTCAGTGCTGTCTGTAGCTGCTCCATGGCTTGCTGATGAGGCGTATCCCATTTGTAGGGCGTATCCTTTTTTAGTAGGTCGGTCAGTGGCGCTGCTATCTTAGCGTACTGCGACACGAACCTGTTGTAGTAGTTGGCGAAGCCTAGGAACTGCTGCAACTCCTTCACGTTCTCCGGTACTTTCCATTTCTTGACGGCTTCGATCTTCCGCGGGTCCACGTGTACGCCCTCGGCACTCACCATGTGCCCGAGAAACTGCACCTTCTTCAGGGCGAAGTCGCTCTTCGACAGCTTCACGTAGAACTTGTTGTTCCGCAGGATCTCGAACACCTTCCGCAGATGCTCCACGTGCTCCTTCATGTTCTTAGAGTAGATAAGAATGTCGTCCAGGTACACCACTACGCACTCGTCCAGTAGGGGTCGTAAGATGTGATTCATCTCCGCCTGAAACGTTGCTGGTGCGTTGCAGAGTCCGAACGGCATCACCAAGTATTCATAGGAGCCGTATCTGGAACGGAACGCCGTCTTGTGGACCGAGTTGTCTGCCATCTTGATCTGCCAGTAACCCGATCGTAGGTCCAGCTTCGAGAAGACTGTTGCTCCACGCAGTTGATCGAGTAGGTCGTCTATGCGCGGTATGGGATATTTGTTTTTTACTGTCTGTTTGTTCAGTGCGCGGTAGTCGATGCACATCCGTAGACTGCCATCTGGTTTTGGAGTGAATAGGACTGGTGCACCGTAGGGAGAGGTGGATGGGCGGATCAGTTGTCTGTCCAGTAGATATTCTATCTGTTTCTTCATATCTGTCAGTTTGGTTGGACTTAGTCGGTATGGTGCACGTGAGACGGGTTTCGCACTTGGTTCCTCCACGATCTCGTGTTCGTGGGCGCGTGCAGGGGGTACGCCCGCAGGTAGGTCATCGGGCATTATATCCTTGTACTGCTCCAAGACCTCCTTCACTGCTGCAGGTAGCTCCGAACTCGGCTTCTCCTCCTCTGCTGCTGCCATAACCAGTGCTAGGTAACCCGTGTTACTCTCGTTCACTGTCCTTTTGAACCGTGCCAGTGTCGTTTCAGGAACGCTCCCTGTATCCGTCCAGCTTCGCAGCTCCACTCGTTTCCCGTTGTTGTAGATGCACGCCTTCATGTTGACCCTGTCGATCTCGGGGTTGAACCGCTTCAAGAAATCTTGCCCCAAGATGAAATCTAAGCCCTTGATGTTCGTGATCGGCAATGTCGGCTTCCACCTCAGCGCCCCTATGTGCAGCTGCAGTGATGCTTCGCCGTGGGTGGGAAGTTTCGTACCGTCCACCATTGTTGCCGAGAACTTGGTCTCCTCCGAAAATTCTCCTATTTTCTCCAACGTCCCGCGGTCGCACACCGAGTGGGACGCACCATTGTCCACCATTGCCTGGAGGCGTCGCCCATTGCAGATCACCTCGAATAGTAGTGTTTGTTGCTGCTCCGAGTAACCGTAGATGGACTCGCTTATAGGATCGTAGGGTACGTCGAATAGATCATCCCTCGGTCCTGCGCTCGAAGCTGCTGATTCCATTTTAGTTTCCAACTGAGTAGGGTTAGAAGGATTTATCCGAGGCCGATTCAGCTTCGTCTTGGCCTGGAACCTTCTCATAAGCCTTTGCAGCTGTGTAGGCTTCTCCTGTGGGCAATGGGGAGCCTTAACACTATGCTGCGGGGAGAGAATATGAACTCCTTGGAACGCACGACCCTTTTCAACGCTCCGGAGTGGTTTGCCCAACTTCGCAGGTACCTGAATATTGTCTGAAGGCTTTTTCTTGGCCTTGAAATCTCCCCTGAATTTTCTAAAGGCTTGAAAACCTCGAGAGGGAATATTCTTACTCTCGGGGGTGTTCGGCTGGAGTTTCCCGGTCGGTGCAGAGTCTTGTTTCGTGGAGCCTCCATTTGTCTCGGTGATTTCCCCTGTTGCCGGCCGGTTGTGGCGTTTTGAATTCGCGCCATCGTGTCCTCCTTTTTTCGCCATCGTGGATGTTGCACTGTTGTTGCCCTGCAGCTCCGCTCGTACTATCTTCAACTTCCAACTCGCCAAGAGTGGATGTCCTGCTGCGCCGCAAAATTCGCACTTCTCATATTTTGTGGGCCGCTACTTTGCGTCGATCTTGTCGATATCCATCGGGTCGGCGGTCGTGGGTGGTGCCGATCGCTTCGTGCCAAATGATCGGTTCGGCACGTGGCGTCGTGTCTCGGGTTCATATCGTATCAGCGCATCGAATCTCTCTGCTGCAGACACCAAGTCGCGGTAATTGTTGTAGTTCGCGGCAATCACCTGTCGGTGGACCTCCATCTTTAGCCCCTCAGTATACGCTTGGATTTTTTCCCCTTCGGTCAGGTCGGTAATTCGGTTGAAGAGGCTCTCCATCTGCTGCGTGTACTGTGTTACACTGCCGAACTGTTTATGCCGATGAATCTGCTGCCGCGCCATGTAGCTGGAGTTGATTGGTTCGAAACGTTGAATTAAAGCTTCCCAAAACTGCGTCCATGACCCCTCGCCTCGGATCTTATTGTTGTTGTAAATCCACTCGAGCGCCGGGCCTCGTAACAGTGTCGCTGCGAGCCGAATCCGCATTGCATCGTGTGTCGGGGTCGTACAGCCAACGGCCTCGAAATAAATTTCGAGAGTCGCAATGAATCGACGAACGTCAGTGTCTCTCGCATTCAGATTGAACGTCTCCGGTAGCTTCGGACGTGCCGCCTCAAGATTCACTGTAGCCGCTGCCGCTGCTGCTGGGTTAAGTGTCGGTGTCACTCCTGCTGCTGCTGGCGTCGCTGCTGCATTCGCTACTACGTTCGCTGCTGCTGCGGCGGCTACCAACTGGTTCGCGAGAAGCTCCTCTATTCGCTGGAGTGCCGCTCGCGTCTGGTCCAGGCCGGTGTGTAACTCCGTACAGATGTTCCGGTTTAGAGGCCCTCGCTAACAGAGTCCATTTTCCGCCAGAAGTAGAATTTTCCTATAATTGTTAGGTGTATCCCCTCTTGTACAGTCCCCTTGTGGGCGGCCCACAGTGTACAGAAAGGGGCCTGATCCGAATCACTGTAGAGCGGATCTGGGAAACAACCAATCAAAATCGCTGGTCAGATCACATGGGCAACGTGTATCATGTGTTCGAAAATTGAATGTTCTGGAGAAATCAGAGAGGCGAAACCTGTGCGATTTCCAGGCCCACGTCAGCTGTTTCGTATTCTGCTTCAAGTGCCATGTCGAATGAATCGTATCCCTCCTTAGCAACGTGGCGGGTTTTGAAGTCTTCAAAGTCAGTGTTGACCGAGGCTAAATCATGCGCCGTTTCACAACTCTCAAACCATTCAATCTCGCGTTCCAGTCTTCCGAGTCTCTATCCACTCTTTTTCGTAAGCAACATGGCTCGCACCCAGAAGCGCCAGCGTATTTATCTCGTCACTAAGCGTGAAATCTGTGAGCATTTTGCTCAGCACCCGCACCTTCGTCTCGAGGATTTGTCACTCTGGTGCTTCACCAGATACGGCATCCGGCCTGACCGGAGCATAATCGGAAAAATCATCCGCAGCGAGAGGAAGTGGTGTGCTGCGACAACTGTACAGGGGCGCGCCTACCGACTTCGCCATCCTAAGTACCCCCAACTCGAACGTGCACTTCACAATTGGGTTCGAAATGCCTATGAGGCAGGCGTGCCCTTGACTCTGAAATTGATCCAAGAAAAGGCACGGTCACTTCGTCGCGAACTCAACGTGGACCCACGCTTCAGATGTTCACTCAGCTGGGTCCATCGCATGACGCACCGTCTGGGTTTTCGTAACCTGACACGCGCGGGAGAGGCTGCCGACGCCGACATGCAGGCTGTTACTACGGCGCGGCTGTGGCTTCCTGAGTTAATCAAGTACCTCGAAGTGTCTCCGAAGGACCTCTTCAATTTTGACGAGACCGCATTATTCCCGGCGTGCCAGCCCCGCAAAACATGGGCGAACGATGCGCCCGTTGGAGGGAAAGCCGCAAAGGACCGTGTGACGGTCGCCTTTTTGTGCAACGCGGACGGTTCTCAGATGTTCCGCCCGATGGTCATCTCGAAAGTCCGACGCCCACGTGACTTGAACGAGAATGGTTTCGACCCCGAGCCCTACGTCTACTGGCGCTACAACAAGCGCGGATGGATGACCAGCGAGGTAAGTGCTCTAAAATGTCAATTTCTACGAGATGTTTGGGATATGTGCCTAATACTAACGTCACTGTTTTTGTCCCCATTGGTAACATCTGCAGATTTTCATGGCATTCATCGAATCCCTGAATGCCACGTTTTTCGCGGAGGAACGACAGGTGGTCCTCCTTGTGGACAATGTATCTAGCCACTGTGTCGCCTCTGCCACGGCGTTGCGCGAGGACATCATGGGATTCCGCACGGTGAAGCTTAGCAACCTCCGCGTGGTGTATCTTCCACCAAACACCACCGCCTTCACGCAGCCCCTTGATCAGGGCGTCATCCGGGCGGTGAAAGCGCGTTTCCGGCAGAAGGCTATTGCGGATTTGCTGCGCCGGTGGGACGGCCGTGGGAGCCCCGCCACCCTCCAGTCCTTGAAGCCGAAATCGTGGGAGATGGTAGTGTGGATCTTCGAGTCATGGAACGCCGTCGAGGCCGACACCATCCAGCGTTGTTGGTGGCATGCCGGCATTCTGCCGCGGTCTTGGATTCCCTTTATGCCGTTTGGGAGCAATGGTTCGTCCGATCCCGGAGACACTACAGAGGAACTCGAGTTTCTCGCTAGGCAGCGCGCGTTCCTCAATCTGGGTCCTGCTGGGTTGTCCGCCACCGAGTTCTGCTCGGTGGACGACCATGTCCCAACTTGCGACATTGATGGCCCCGACCCGCTGGCGGATGAACCCCCCATGACGCGCGGTGCCCGCCCTTCTATGGTTCCGCTGCCAAGTCCTCCAGTGGAAGCCTCGAGGCTCCGCGAGCGTCGGCGCGTCGCAAGGCGCGCGACCGAGATTCTTATTGGGTATGCTCGTGCGACCCGCATCATGCCAAGCGAGCTTGTGCATATCTTCGGAATCAACAACACCGAGGTCGTGGCGCGGCTGGATCGCGCTAGTCACGGAACCCTCAACCTGAACAACCCCCCCCCTCAACAGCGGTGTAGCGGCTGATGCACCAGAGGACTCTCTTTCCTGCCGAGAGAGGCCCCTCTCGGCAGCAGATATCCTGGACGGGCGCGCCGAGTAACTCCGGCAATTTCTACAAGAGCGTGTGGGCGCCGTCCGGTTCGCTGTACGGTGGTGGTCCTGTGTGTGTGTGTTTGTTCTGTGTTTGAAAGAGCTTTTGTGTCAGAGTTGGGAGTGGCTTTATTACCGGGAGTTTCTAATATTCTAGTAAGAGTTGAATTTCCGGGGCTGTTCTGCTGCAAATCTGTGTGTGGAAGGTATGCCGTTGCGTCGATCGTCGGCGATGGCTGAATGTTTCTCTCGTTTGACATATGCTATGATGTGCATCCTGGGGCTAATGTGCTTGCGGGGTTATTTTGTGCCTGTGAATGTCTGTGCGATGTGTGCTTGTTATGCGTGAATGGCGTTTGAGTGTGTTGGGATTTGCCTTTTGTTTGGAACGAGAAGCAACTCTGGTTTCAGTTCGGTTTGATTCTCTGTTTGCATGTGTGTTTGTATCAGTACTCTTTAATGGAAGTTTATTTGAATGCCCACTTCATGTTACGAATTGAGTTAATTGTTGATCAGAAGTACCGTGTGTCGCACGAGGTGGGCGTTTCATTTCATGCGAACTGGTAGTAACTCCTCGTCGCCAGAAAACACCGGCTGACGCCGTACCAAACACCATGCGTGACGGCGAAAATACCCGCCCAGTTGGACTATAAGTTCCCATTTGCCTGGGGTTTCGCGAGTTTTCACCATAGTCCCGCGCCGCGCGTGTTTTTTAGTGGGACTAAAAGCAGGAACATCTGTAATTTTTCGTACGGAATTATCACCGTTTTCCCCCATTTGGCGATTTATAGGAAAATGTGCGACAAAAATAATTGAATTCTAGGCGCTGGTCATCTTACTGTGAGTCGAATCGACTGTAGAAATGACGAGCGCTAATTCTGTAGGTCGCGTAATTCTCCCTTGGTCGAAATTCGCGTCCGATCTCGGCCGTTGAGAAGAAATTCGATCCGACGTTCCAAATTCCAAACTTTTTGATAGAAATTCTCAGGGCCGTTGAGATTCGAATCGATCCGACGGTCGAAATTCCAACTTTTTCGCCACTGGACCTGAAAAGTGTTCGAAAACCGGTTCGAGGGGAACGTTAGAAAATAGCGCGGAACTGGTTTACGTACCCGAAATCGGCGCTTTCCGTCGTCGCCCCCGCGGTTTTAAAAGCTAGGTTTTAGCGGTAGAAAAACTTCGCTTCGAACAGGCTCTGATTACCAAGTGTAGGAATCTAGGATCGAGCTCAGAAAAGAGAGTTTGAATTGAATCGAATTGAATGACCACCTGGGTACAACACGAGGCTATATATAGGCTCGACACAAGGCAGGTAACCCAGGTGTTACGCGAATGTTCTGAGGGTCGCGAAGCGTCCCGAACAGAACCTCCCCAAACTCGGTAGAAAGCAATTCGGTGGCGACCGAATAGGCTTGAGTTCGGTACACGTAACCTGGTTCGGTGCTATAACTATAATAATATATAGGAATGCACCTTACCTAGGAAATCAAGCATATCTATGCATGATAAATAAAACACAAGCTAGATATAGCGTAATAAAGTCTAGGCATGCTAGCAAAGCCAGCATAAGCCGTCGTACTCTCACAACTACGGGCTAGGCACGTGTGCTCGTGTGATCTCTGCGTTCGTTCACTTAGTCGTTTCCTTGTATTCACGCTCCTTGCTAGTTCACGGGGAGAATTGGCAAGAGTTTCACTAGGAAAACATGACAACAACAATGATAGCAGCAACATTGGCATCACAGACTACATCAGTGCTAGCTAGGCTGCTGGTCGACCTCCAGCGCAGCACGGTCGACCGCGCTCCAGCGCAGCAGCGCTCGCACCGCTCCAGCGTTGCAGAGTAGCGGTTCGCCAACGTTGCAAGTCCACGGTGTGCTAGTGCTGCAGCAAGTCGGCTGCACAGCGTTGCACCCGCAGGACAACGGTGCACCTGCTTCGCAGGTGCGCGCAGCTGGTTGGTGCGCGCTTACCTGTCATGTGCACAACGCAGACGCCTGGCAGACTCCACGCCAGCGACTGTGCCCACCAGCCACGTCGACCTCGGGATACCACCCCCGAGGTCGGCCTCGCAGTCTCCACCCTGGCGACACTTGCGCACGTCGCCCGGGTATCCCGATCGACCGGGCAACCACGCCTGGTCGACTCACGCAGTCCGTAGCCGGCCACGCATGCCCGGCGTCCCTAGTCCGGCGTCCAGGCGCGCCCAGGACGCCTTCCGAACCCCCAGGTCGGCGTCCAGACGCCCAGGACGCTGACCAATACCTCCAGAGCGGCGTCCCTCCTCCCAGGACGCCGACCAGACACCCAGGTCGGTGTCGGGCCTCCGGGACGCCCAGGTCGGCGTCCGGACCCACGGACGCCGTGCAGACGCCCACGACGTCGACCAGGCGCCCGGGTGGTCGTGGCGACGCCCAGCTCGGCGTCCAGCTTCCCGGGACGCCAACCAGGCGTCCAGGGCGGCGTCCTCCTGCTCGGCGCCCTTGCAGTGGCCCCCGTGCCCACTGCTGCAGGTCGGCTGCAACCCCCGTACATCCGACCACAAGGTTGGCTCCGCCCAAGCGAGGACGGGGCCTTACAACGCTCCCATTGACAGGCGCTGCCCTTCCCGGCCCCGACGCCGCCTCTGCTGGCCCCGTCGCCGCTCCACCCGGCCCCGCCGCCGTCCCCACGCGGCCCCGCCGTCACCACCGAGCCCCCGGAGCCGCCGAGCTGCTGCCGAGCCGCCTGAGCCACCCGAGGCGCCCGAGCTGCCGCGCCACCTGAGCCGCCCGAGCCGCGGGGTCGCCGAGCTGCCGAGCCGCCGTACCACCGAGCCGCCCGAGCCTCCAGTGCCACCGAGTCGCCGAGCCGCAGTTGCTGCCGAGCCGCCGTACCGCCCGAGCCGCCCGAGCCGCCCGGACCGCCGAGCCGCCCGAGCCGCCCTGTCCGGTAAGAGCAGCGCCGGTATCACTGCACTGCCCTTACCCTACTGTTCGAGCTGCTAGTCTACTGCTGTCATGGCTACCCCTAGTGTCCTCGCTTTTGACGCTGAGGGTCGGGCCATTGACTTTGACGTCTGGGTAGATGACCTGCAGCTTTTCCTACAGTGCGATAGGGCAGACGGTCTCTCCCGCTTTAACCTCACTTCTGGTGCCTCTCCTGCCCCTCCTGCTGATGCTGACGCCACTGTTTGCTCACAGTGGGCCACACGCGATGCTGCTGCACGTCTTGCTGTGCGTCGCCACCTGCCTACCTCTGAGCGTGCGCACTTTAGCCAGTACAAGAGTGCTCATACCTTGTACGACGCTGTAGTTACACGCTACTCCTCCCCTGCCACTGCTGCACTGAGCCGCCTCATGCTACCGTACCTCTTCCCTGACCTTGCTGCCTTTCCCACAGTCACTGAACTCATTACACACCTCCGCACTAGTGACACTTGCTACCGCGCTGCACTTCCTGCTGAGTTCTGCGCCAAGAACCCCCCATGTATATCACCCTCTACTACATAGTCGCCCGGCTCCCTGACTCTCTCCGCGTAGTCAGGGACCACTTCCTCTCAGTTTGCCCCACCACTCTCACCGTTGACCTTCCCAGGAGCAACATAGCGTGCAAAAATGCTAAGAGGGTATGCAAGGTCAGGTCGTGTGCAGGTCATCAGGTACATGAGGCAGCCGACAAGCTCTGGATACGGGCCACTCGACTCTACGGACTCATCTGAAGGCAGAGCTGAGAGCGAGTGGCGAGTAGGCAGAGGAGTGGCCTGAGGCGAGGAGTACGTGAAGCCGGAGCGCTGAAGGACCTGCTGCACCATGTGTGACTGAGTCAGGGTAATGGTGCGGCGTGCTCTGTCCCGGGTGATCTGCAAGCCAAGGTAGCTGCGCAGCTCACCCAGGTCAGTGCACGTGTGTCTCTTCTGCAGCTCGGACTTCACGTAGGCGAGTCCAGCAGTGTCAGCAGTGGCAAAGACCAAGTCGTCGACGTACACGAGGATGTAGAACGGCGGCAGAGAAGTGTCGGTGCGCAGAAACAGCGACGGGTCAGCAGTAGAAGGAGCAAACCCAAGTGCCGCCAGTGTAGTCCTCAGTGTGTCGTGCCACTCACGCGGCGCCTGGCGGAGACCGTAGACTGGCCGCCGGAGACTCCACTGGGTACCAGGAGGGAAAGACCCAGTGAAGCCAGGAGGGCGGCGCAGCCAGATCTCCTCGTGCAGGCTGCCCTGCAAGAAAGCAGTGCTGAAGTCGAGAGAGTGCAGCTCGTAGTCACGGTGAGCGGCAACGTGCAGCAGTACCCGAAGAGTGGTCATCTTCGGGGTCGGGGAGAAGGTCTGAAAGAAGTCAACTTTCTGCCGCTGACTGAAACCACGAGCCACGTAACGCGCCTTGAAGACAGGCGGAGAACCCGGCGGCCGCTTCACCCTGAAGATCCACATGCCACTGACGATGTTGTCAGATTATATTTAGCTGATGCATGTACTGTAGGCTGTAGTGGGGTAGCCCATATGGGGTACAACCCAATTAGGGTTGGTACTTGTACTTGTTTCTTTTCATAGTGCATCATTCCCTACTCAACTCAACATGGTACAGAGCGGGTTCCCTGTGGGAACTTCGCCTAGGGCCCACCGAAGCGCGCCCCGAGGCGCGCCAACTTTTTTTTCTCTCGCTCGAGCGACCCTCCGTGTCGCCCTTCCCTCGCGGCCCCGCCGCCCTCTCTGACGCGGCTCCGCCGCCCATTTCGAACGCGGCCCCGCCGCCTGCTTCGACGCGGCCCCGCCGCCTGCTCAGGCGTGGCCTCGCCGTCCGCTACGACGCGGCCCCGTCGCCTGCTCTGCCGGCCCCGCCACTGCATCTGCCGGCCCGCCGCTGCACCCTTACGGCCCCGCCGCTGCATCTACCGGCCCGCCGCTGCACCCTTACGGCCCCGCCGCTGCACTTGACGGCCCCGCCGCTGCACCTGCCGGCCCGCCGCTGCACCTGACGGCCCCGCCGCTGCACCTGCCGGCCCGCCACTGCACCTTACGGCCCGCCGTCCCCTCTGCTGGCCCGCCGCTGCACCTGCCGGCCCGCCACTGCACCTGACGGCCCCGCCGCTGCACCTGACGGCCCCGCCACTGCACCTGCCGGCCCGCCGCTGCACCCTTACGGCCCCGCCGCTGCACCTGACGGCCCCGCCGCTGCACCTCCCGGCCCCGCCACCCCAGCAGCCGAGCCGCCGTAGCAGCCGAGCCGCCCCAGCAGCCGAGCCGCCCCAGCAGCCGAGCCGCCCCAGTAGCCGAGCCGCCCCAGCAGCCGTGCCGCCCGAGCCGCCCGAGCCGCCGAGTCGCCCGAGCCGCCCAGCAGTCGAGCCGCCGAGCCGCCCGAGCCGCCCGAGCTGCCCGAGCCCTCCCTGCACTGCCCTGTCTGGTGAGCACTGAGCTTTACTCTGCGCACTGCCCTCTCGCTACTGCTGTCATGGCTACCCCCAGTGTCCTCACCTTTGACGCTGAGGGCAGAGCCATCGACTTTGACGTGTGGGTAGACGACCTACTGCTTTTCCTACAGTGCGACAGAGCTGACGGACTCTCTCTCTTTGATCTCACTTCTGGTGCCTCTCCCGCCCCTGCTGCTACTTAGGATTCCTCTGTTCGCTCAGTATGGGCCACACGCGATGCTGCTGCACGTCTTGCTGTGCGTCGCCACCTCCCTCCCGCTGAGCGTGCGCACTTTGGGTCGTACAAGAGTGCTCGGACCTTGTACGACGCCGTTATTGCACGCTACTCCACCCCTGCCACTGCTGCACTGAGCCGCCTCATGCTACCGTACCTCTTTCCTGACCTTGCTGCTTTTGCCACAGTAGCCGACCTCATTACCCACCTGCGCACTAGTGACGGTCGCTTCCGCGCTGCGCTTCCTGCTGAGTTCTGCGCCAAGAACCCCCCCCCCCCCCAGTACTTCACTCTCTACTACATTGTCACCCGCCTCCCTGACTCCCTTCGCGGAGTCAGGGACGACCTACTCGCAGTCTGCCCCACCACTCTCACTGTCGAGCTCCTCGAGAAGTCCCTCCTAGCAGCCGAGAAGAGCATTCTCGCTGTAGGGGCCTCTCGTAGTGACCCGCGCACCCCCATCTTTGAGGGGTGTTCCCCCTCCCCCCTCCTGCCCTCTGTCGCCTCTGCTGCCACGGCCGACCTCGTTGGTTTTGAGTCGGTCGGTGCGGCGTCTGCCCCCAGTGGGAGACGTCGCTCTGGCAAGAGCAAGGGGGGCAGGGGCGGTGGGGGAGGCGGCGGGGGCGGTGGAGGCGGCGGGGGAGGCAGCGGAGGAGGTGAGGGTGGTAGCGGGAGTGGTGGCGGGAGTGGAGGTGTCAGCGGCGGCAGTGGAGGCGGGGGCGGCAGTGGCGGTGGTGGTGGGGGTGGAGGCGGCGGCGGTGGTGGCGGCGGCGACGGTGGGGGTGGCGGTGGCGGTGGAGGTGGTGGCGGCGGCGGCGGAGGAGGAGGCGGCGGAGGGGGCGGCGGCGGTCGTGGCTCGTCGCGGAGGAGTGGCTCCGGTGGTGGTCAGCGCCAGCAGCAGCAGCGTGGTCAGGAGACCCTCTCCCCGCAGCAGCTCCGTGAGTGGTACGCTGCACGTCAGAGGGGTGGGGGTCCTGGTCCGTGCACCTACGTCCTGCGCACTGGCGACCGTGCGGGTGAGCAGTGTGGTGGTCCACACTCCGCCCAGCGCTGCTTCGGCCGCCTGACTGACGCTTGGCGCCGCCAGTTTCCTGACGCCTCTGAGATCCCTCGCTGGGACCAGCTGTCTAGGGCAGGAGTAGCTATCTTTGATCTTGACTTTGATGCTATTCTTCGTGCCATGTATGCTGTGACTATTAGTGAGGAGGGTGACTGTTACCGGTGTTTCCCGCCCGACCCGGGCATTGGTACTGCGGCTCTGGGTGCTGTTGAGGCTGCTACTCCAGGTGCTTTTGCGGCTGCTGCTCTAGGTGCCAGTGAGTCTGTGTCCCCAGGTGCTGGTGAGTCTGCTCTCTCAGGTACAGCGTCGGCTCCGCCCTCTCTCACCTTCACTCTTGACTCAGGAGCGTCTCGCTCCTTCTTTCGAGACCGCACCACACTCACGCCGCTTAGTCGGCCTGTGGCAGTCTCCCTGGCGGACCCCTCTGGGGGTCCTGTTCTGGCTCGCTACTCCACTGTCCTTCCGTGCCCTGCGGTCCCGTCTGGCTCCCTGTCCGGTCTCTACCTCCCCTCGTTCTCTACGAACTTGGTGGCGGGTGCTGACCTCCAGGATGCAGGGGTTGACCAGTTCACCCCTGCACGCCGACGAGACACCCACTGCACGGACGCGGACACGGGTCGACACTTGACCACGTTTACACGTGGGCCGGGGTCGAGCCTGTACACCCTCACTGTTCCGTCTCCTCCTCCTGCGTCTGGTCAGGTAGCTGCGTCGGGTCAGGTGTTTGCTGCAGCGTCCAGGTCTGGTCCGGAGTCTGCTCCCTGCTCGTGTCGCCTCCTGTCCCACGAGACCCTCCTGTGGCACCACAGGATGGGTCACCCCTCCCTGCCCCATCTCCGGGGCATGGTCTCTCGCCTTCTTGTCTCTGGTCTTCCCCGGTCCCTCCCTCCCCTTCCTCCGGGGCCTGGCCCTCCCTGTGTCCCCTGTGTCGAGGGTCGCCTGCGGGCTACCCCTCACTCCTCCCCCTTTCCTCCAACGGAGGCCCCGATGCAGACGCTTCACATGGACGTGTGGGGCCCAGCCCGCGTCCGTGGACAGGGTCACGAGCGCTACTTCCTGCTGGTGGTTGACGACTACTCGCGTTACACCTCGGTCTTCCCCTTGCGCAGCAAGGGTGAGGTCACTGAGGTGTTGATCGACTGGATCCGCGCAGCTCGTCTCCAGCTCAGGCGGAGCTTCGGCTCGGACTTTCCTGTTTTGCGTCTGCACTCGGACAGAGGCGGAGAGTTCTCCTCCGGCCTTCTGCGAGCCTACTGTCGTGCACGAGGCATCCGTCAGAGCTTCACGCTTCCGGACTCTCCACAGCAGAATGGGATTGCTGAGCGCCGCATCGGCATTGTCATGGACGTCGCCCGTACGTCCATGGTGCATGCGGCTGCCCCCCATTTTCTGTGGCCGTTTGCGGTGAGGTACGCCGCGCATCAGATCAACCTTCAGCCCAGGGTCTCCAGACCGGAGACCTCCCCAGCTTTGCTGTGGACGGGGAAGGTTGGCGATGCGTCGGCGTTTCGTGTCTGGGGATCTCGGGCGTTTGTCCGCGACTTGTCTGCGGACAAGCTGTCCCCTCGTGCTGCTCCTTGCGTCTTCCTGGGTTCCCCCCCTGACGCACCTGGGTGGTAGTTTTACCACCCCACCTCTCGTCGTGTTCTGTCCTCCCAGGACGTCACGTTCGACGAGTCGGTTCCCTTCTACCGGCTCTTCCCCTACCGCACTCCCTCCCTTCCCCCACCGCCCCTCTTCCTGGTCCCAGGTCCCCCCCCGGTAGACCCCCTCCCCCCTCAGGGTCCTTCCCCTTCAGGTGTGTCTCAGGTAGACGCGGTCGAGCCTGTTGAGGTCACTGGTGACTCTGGTGCTGCTGCGGGTGCGGAGCCTCGGGGTGCTGAGTCTGGGGGTGCTGAGCCTGGGGGTGCTGAGCTTGGGGGTGCTGAGACTGGGGGTGCTGAGCCTGGGGGTACTGAGCCTGGGGGTGCTGAGTCTGGGGGTGCTGAGCCTGGGGGTGCTGAGCCTGGGGGTGCTGAGCCTGGGGGTGCTGAGCCTGGGGGTGCTGAGCCTGGGGGTGCTGAGCCTGGAGGTACTGCGTCTGGGAGTGCTGCGCCTGCTGCTTCTCTTCTTGGTGGTTCGAGCCGCGAGCCGCTCTCTCCTCTGGAGCTGCGTGAGTGGTTTGCCCGGCGCTGGAGGCGAGCTGCTGGAGCTGGGGGTGCTGCAGGTGCTGGAGGTTCTGTTGCTGCCGAGGGAGCTGGTACCACGGGTCCCGGAGGTGCTCGTACTGAGAGTACTGGAGCTGCCGGGCCCGGGGGTGCCTCTGGAGCTGGAGCTGCTGCGGGTGCTGGCGCTGAGACTACGACTGTCGGTCCTGCTGAGGGTACTTCTGGCGCTGCTGGAGGTGCTGGAGTTGGAGCTGCTACTAGTGCTGGTGCAGCCTCTGGAGGTGTTGGTGCTGTCCCTACTGTCTCTGGCGGTGCTGCGCGGCCACGGCCGTACTTCGTTCCGCTCCTCCAGTAGGTTCTTGGTCTCCCGCCTTCCACTGGTCCTTCTCCTCCCGTAGAGTGTCCACGGCCTGTCCCGTCGCAGTCACAGTTACAGCCCGCCTCTCCCCTGCCTTCTCCTTCTCCCTACACTGGTCCTACTGGAGGTCTTGCTGAGCGTCGTGAGCCTGCGTCCCGCCCTGCGTCGCCAGTCCGAGCTGCTCGCCCTAGTAGTCGCGGCTCGCGTCAGCGTCCTCCTCCTGTCCCTGGCATACACCAGATGTCTCTGCGTCTGTCCACTGTTCCTCTGCGTGCCCCTTTGCCTTCTCCTCCTGAGTCTTCTCTTCCTACTCTTGCCGACCCGGAGTCGGACTCTCGCCGTGCTGCCAGTCCTACTGTCACGCGTCTTCTTGCTTCTCTTGTCACTGACCCTTCCTTTGAGTCCGCTGCTGCGTCTGCCCTAGTTGCGGAGCTGGTCGCCTTTGCTGCTGCGTGTCGTTTAGACTACGCTGCCAGTCCTGTTGCTGAGTCTGCTGAGTCTGCTGAGTCTGCGTCTGCTGCGTCTGCGTCTGCCTGTCCTCCGTCCGTCGGGGGTGACTGTGCTCTTGGCACGGACGTCCTTGAGGACAGGCAGGAGGAGTTCCAGTGCTTTGCCGCCGCTTTGCCCCATCTCGTGTCCATGCTTGTTGCCCCTGAGGGAGACCCGGATGCTCTAGACATCCCGACCCCACGCTCTTACGCAGAGGCGATGGCCGGTCCCTACTCCTCTCAGTGGCAGTCAGCCATGGACGCAGAGATGGCTTCCTGGAAGTCCACAGGCACCTACGTCGACGAGGTTCCCCCACCTGGGGCGAACATCGTCAGTGGCATGTGGATTTTCAGGGTGAAGCGGCCGCCGGGTTCTCCGCCTGTCTTCAAGGCGCGCTACGTGGCTCGTGGCTTCAGTCAGCGACAGGGAGTTGACTTCTTTCAGACCTTCTCCCCGACCCCGAAGATGACCACTCTTCGGGTTCTGCTGCACTTCGCTGCTCAGCGTGACTACGAGCTACACTCTCTTGACTTCAGCACTGCTTTCCTGCAGGGCCGCCTGCACGAGGAGATCTGGCTGCGCCGCCCTCCTGGTTTCACTGGGTCGTTCCCTTGGTACCCAGTGGAGCCTCCGGCGGCCAGTCTACGGTCTCCGCCAGGCGCCGCGCGAGTGGCACGACACACTGAGGACTACACTTGCGGCTCTTGGGTTTGCTCCTTCTACTGCTGACCCGTCGCTGTTTCTGCGCACCGACACCTCGCTGCCGCCGTTCTACATCCTCGTGTACGTCGACGACTTGGTCTTTGCCACTGCGGACACTGCCGCACTCGCCCACGTGATGTCCGAGCTGCAAAAGAGACACACGTGCACAGACCTGTGTGAACTGACAAGCTATCTTGGCTTGCGGATCACCCGGGACAGAGCACGCCGCACCATTACCCTGACTCAGTCACACATGGTGCAGCAGGTCCTTCAGCGCTTCGGCTTCACGTACTCCTCGCCTCAGTCCACTCCTCTGCCTACGGGACACTCGCTCTCAGCTCTGCCTTCGGATGAGTCCGTAGAGTCGAGTGGTCCGTATCCAGAGCTTGTGGGCTGCCTCATGTACCTGATGACCTGCACTTGACCTGACCTCGCATACCCTCTCAGCATCTTAGCACGCTATGTCGCTCCCGGCCGTCACCGGAAGGAGCACATGGATGCGGCTAAGAGGGTGTTGCGCTACTTGTGCAGTACGTCGGGCATGGGGCTAGTGCTTGGAGGGCGTGAGCGGCCTGTGCTCACTGGGCACTCAGACGCTTCTTGGGCTGACGACCAGGCTACTCAGAGGTCGTCTCAGGGTTACACCTTCAGTCTTGGCTCTGGCTCTGTCTCTTGGCGCTCTACTCGCTCTTCTTCGGTTCTCAGCTCCAGTTGTGAGGCTGAGATCTACGCCACGGCCATGGCTGCCCAGGAGCTTCGCTGGCTCACCTACCTACTGACTGACCTTGGAGAGCGGCCTCGTTATCCTCCAGTGCTGTACGTTGACAACAAGGCAACCATTGCCTTGTGTCAGGAGCACAGACTGGAGCACAGGACGAAGCACATTGCTCTGCGCTACTTCCTTGCTCGAGAGCTGCAGCAGCGTGGTCAGCTTCGCCTGCGCTTCGTGGCCACTGAGGCCAACACTGCTGATGTGTTCACCAAGGCACTTCCGCCTCGTGACCATCAGCGCTTTTGCACTCTGCTAGGCCTTGTGCCCACTGGGCCTCACTTGCTTACCTCTTGACCTTGCTTGTACTGCTGCATATATATATCCTTGCTCTTGCTTGTTTAGCACTGTTATATATATATGCTCTGCTGCATGTGAACTGGCCTTGTGGCCTTGACGTTGTGCTCGGAATTTGTGTGGTATCCTTGAGATCCACCCTGAGCTTGCTTTGCTTCTCTTTGCTTGTCTTGCTTGACTGGTCTTGTGACCCCTTGCTCTCCCCCACTTTGCCTATGGGGGTGTGTCAGATTATATTTAGCTTATGCATGTACTGTAGGCTGTAGTGGGGTAGCCCATATGGGGTACAACCCAATTAGGGTTGGTACTTGTACTTGTTTCTTTTCATAGTGATCACAAGGCGCAAGTGCCTTGGTGAAAACATCAGCCGTGTTGGCCTCAGAGGCCACGTACGCAAGCCGCAACTGTCCACGCTGCTGTAGCTCACGAGCAAGAAAGTAGCGGAGAGCAATGTGCTTTGTCCTGTGCTCCAGTCGCTGCTCTCGACACAAGGCCAGCATGGCCTTGTTGTCTTCGTACAGGACTGGAGGAGAACGAGGCGGCTCTCCAAGGTCGGTCAGCCTGTAGGTGAGCCAGCGTAACTCCTGTGCAGCCATAGCCCCGGCGTAGATCTCAGCCTCACAACTGGAGCCGAGAACAGAAGACGAGCGGGTAGCCCGCCACGAAACAGAGCCGGAACCAAGGCTGAAGGTGTAACCCTGTGACGACCGCTGCGTAGCCTGGTCGTCAGCCCAAGAGGCGTCCGCATGCCCAGTGAGGACCACTGGACTGCGCCCTCCAAGCACTAGCCCCATGCCCGACGTACTGCACAGGTAGCGCAACACCCTCTTCGCTGCAGCCATGTGCTCTGGTCAGTGTCTCCCAGGAGCAACATAGCGTGCAAGAATGCTAAGAGGGTATGCAAGGTCAGGTCGTGTGCAGGTCATCAGGTACATGAGGCAGCCGACAAGCTCTGGATACGGGCCACTCGACTCTACGGACTCATCCGAAGGCAGAGCTGAGAGCGAGTGGGGAGTAGGCAAAGGAGTGGCCTGAGGCAAGGAGTACGTGAAGCCGAAGCGCTGAAGGACCTGCTGCACCATGTGTGACTGAGTCAGGGTAATGGTGCGGCGTGCTCTGTCCCGGGTGATCTGCAAGCCAAGGTAGCTGCGCAGCTCACCCAGGTCAGTGCACGTGTGTCTCTTCTGCAGCTCGGACTTCACGTAGGCGAGTCCAGCAGTGTCAGCAGTGGCAAAGACCAAGTCGTCGACGTACACGAGGATGTAGAACGGCGGCAGAGAAGTGTCGGTGCGCAGAAACAGCGACGGGTCAGCAGTAGAAGGAGCAAACCCAAGTGCCGCCAGTGTAGTCCTCAGTGTGTCGTGCCACTCACGCGGCGCCTGGCGGAGACCGTAGACTGGCCGCCGGAGACTCCACTGGGTACCAGGAGGGAAAGACCCAGTGAAGCCAGGAGGGCGGCGCAGCCAGATCTCCTCGTGCAGGCTGCCCTGCAAGAAAGCAGTGCTGAAGTCGAGAGAGTGCAGCTCGTAGTCACTGTGAGCGGCAACGTGCAGCAGTACCCGAAGAGTGGTCATCTTCGGGGTCGGGGAGAAGGTCTGAAAGAAGTCAACTCCCTGCCGCTGACTGAAACCACGAGCCACGTAACGCGCCTTGAAGACAGGCGGAGAACCCGGCGGCCGCTTCACCCTGAAGATCCACATGCCATTGTCGATGTTCGCCCCAGGAGGGGGAACAGCGTCAACGTAGGTGCCTGTGGACTTCCAGGAAGCCATCTCAGCATCCATAGCTGCCTGCCACTGAAAGGAGTAGGGACCCTCTATCGCCTCCGCGTACGAGCGCGGAGTCGGGATGTCAAGTGCATCCGGGTCTCCCTCAGGAGTGAGCAGTACGGACACGAGATGAGGTGAAGCGGCTGCTAGGCACTGGAACTCCTCCTGCCTGTCCTCAAGGACGTCCGTGCCAAGGGCACACTCACCCCGGACGGACGGAGGACAGGCGGACTCAGACTCAGCGACAAGACTAGCAGCGTAGTCTAGACGACAGCGAGCAGCAAAGTCGACGAGCTCAGTGACAAGGGCAGACGCAGCAGTGGACTCGAAAGAAGGGTCAGTGACGGCAGTAGCAAGGAGACGCGTGACAGAAGGACTGGCAGCACGAAGAGAGTCTGACGCAGGGTCGGCGAGAGCAGGAAGAGAGGACGCAGGAGGAGAAGGCAAAGGGGCACGCAGAGGAGCAGTGGTCGGACGCAGGGACATCTGGTGCGTGCCAGGGACAGGAGGAGGGCGCTGACGCGAACCGCGACCACTAGCGCGCACAGCACGAACAGGCGACGCAGGACGAGACGCAGGCTCACGACGCTTAGTATGACCTCCAGTAGGACCAGCGTAGGGAGAAGGAGCAGGCAAAGGGGAGGCAGGTTGGAGCTGTGACTGCGACTGGACAGGCTGTGGACCCTCTAAGGAAGGAGGAGGAGGACCAGGAGAAGGTGTAAAACCAAGAACCTGCTGCAGGAGTGGAACGAAGTACGGTCGGGGCCGCGTGGCGACGCAAGAAACAGCAGGGACTGTACCAGGACCCCCAGCAGGAGTACTCGCGCCAGCAGCACCACCAGCAGCACCTCCAGCAGCCATAGAACCTCCAGCAGCACCAGAAGCACCGCCAGCCGTTCCGCCAGTGGTAGTCTCAGCGCCAACACCCTCAGCAACACCAGCTCCAGTCGAAACCGCAGGTCCAGCAGCTCCAGTACTCCCAGGACGAGCACCTCCGGGACCCGCGAGAGCAGCACCCTCAGTAGCCGACGAACCTCCAGCACCAGCAGTACGGCTCCAGCGCCGGGCAAACCACTCGCGCAGCTCCTGTGTAGAGAGTGGCTCCCGGCGAGGCGAAGGACCGAGGGAGCCCCCAGGCTCAGCACCCCCAGGCTCAGCACCCCCAGGCTCAGCACCCCCAGGCTCAGCACCCCCAGACGTAGCACCCCCAGGCTCAGCACCTCCAGCAGCACCAGAGTCACCAGTGACCTCAACAGGCTCGACTGCGTCTACCTGGGACACACCTGACGGGGCAGGACCCTGAGGGGGGATGGGGTCTACCGGGGGGGGACCTGGGACAAGAAAGAGCGGGGGCGGGGGAAGGGACGGAGTGCGGTAGGGGAAGAGGCGGTAGTAGGGTACGGACTCGTCGAACGTGACGTCCTGGGAGGACATAACACGGCGAGAGGTGGGGTGGTAGAACTGCCACCCAGGGGCGTCGGGGGGGAGCCCCAGGAAGACGCAGGGAGCAGCGCGAAGGGACAGCTTGTCCGCAGACAAGTCGCGAACAAACGCCCGAGATCCCCAGACCCGGAACGCCGACGCATCGCCAACCTTCCCCGTCCACAGCAGGGCTGGGGAGGTCTCCGGCCTGGAGACCCTGGGGTGGAGGTTGTTCTGATGCGCCGCGTACCTGACCGCAAACGGCCACAGAAAATGGGGGGCTGCCGCATGCATCATGGACGTACGAGCGACGTCCATGACCATGCCAATGCGGCGCTCTGCAATCCCATTTTGCTGCGGTGAGTCCGGAAGCGTGAAGGTCTGACGGATGCCTCGCGCACGACAGTAGGCACGCAGAAGGCCGGAGGAGAACTCTCCGCCTCAGTCCGAGTGCAGACGCAAAACAGGAAGGTCCGAGCCAAAGCTCTGCCTGAGCTGGAGACGAGCTGCGCGGATCCAGTCGATCAGCACCGCAGTGACATCATCCTTGCTGCGCAAGGGGAAGACTGTGGTGTAACGCGAGTAGTCGTCAACAACGAGCAGGAAGTAGCGTTCCTGACCCTGTCCACGGACGCGGGCTGGGCCCCACACGTCCATGTGAAGCGTCTGCAACGGAGCCTCTGTCGGAGGAAACTGGGAGGAGTGAGGGGCAGCACGCTGGCGCCCCTCGACACAGGGGACACAGGCAGGGCCAGGGCCCTGAGGAAGGGGAGGGAGGGACCGGGAGAGACCAGACACAAGAAGACGGGAGGCCATGCCTCTGAGCCGAAGCAGAGAGGGGTGGCCAAGGCGGTGGTGCCAGAGGAGGGTCTCGTGAGACAGACGGCGACACGAACAGGGGGCAGACTCAGGACCAGACCTGGACGCTGCAGCAAACACCTGACCAGACGAAGGGACCCTACCAGACTCAGCACCTGGAGGAGAAGCAGTGGTCAGTGTGTACAGGCTCGACCCTGGCTGACGTGTAAACGTAGCCAGGTGGCGACCTGTGCTAGCCTCTGTGCAGTGTGTCACCCACTGACGAGCAGGAGTGAACTGGTGGACACCCGCATCCTGTAGGTCAGCACCACTCACCAGGTTCGTAGAGAACGAGGGGAGGTAGAGACCAGACAGGGTGCCAGAGGGGGCCGCCGGACACGGGAGGACTGTGGAGAAGCGAGACAGGACAGGACCCCCAGAGGGGTCAGCCAGGGACACCGCAACCGGCCGACTAAGCGGCGTGAGAGTGGTGCGGTCCCGAAAGAAAGAGTGAGAGGCTCCAGAGTCCAGGGTGAAGGTGTGAGAGGCCGAAGCCGACGCAGTACCTGAGAGTGCAGACTCACCAGTACCTGAGAGTACAGACGCACTGGCACCTAGAGCGGCAGCCTCACTGGCACCTAGAGCAGCAGCCTCACTAGCACCTAGAGCAGCAGTACCAATGCCCGGGTCGGGCAGGAAACACCGGTAACAGTCACCCTCATCACTAACAGTCACAGCATACATAGCAGCAAGGATAGCATCAAAGTCAAGATCAAAAATAGCTACACCAGCCCTAGACAACTCTCCCCAGCGGGGGATCTCAGAGGCCTCCGGAAACTGCTGGCGCCAAGCGTCTGTCAGGCGGCCAAAGCAGCGGCGGGCGGTGTGGGTGCTCCCACACTGCTCACCCGCGCGGTCGCGGGTGCGAAGAACGTAGGTGCAGGGACGGAACGCCCCACCACGCTGACGCTGCGAGTACCACTCACGGAGCTGCTGAGGGGCGGGGACGTC